ACCAACATTTCATCGATGTAAACATCCATGGTTGAGCCGAGCTTCTCAGCGAACACTCTGTTTACCAACATTTGGTATGTAGCTCTTGAATTTTTTAGCCTAAAGTGCATGACCTTGTAACATTATGTTCCTTGGCCAGTCATAAATGATGTCTTCTCTTGGTCGTCTGGATCGATCCTGATCTAATTGTATACTGAAAATACATCCTTGAAGCTTAATAGTTCATGACCAGACATCGAATCAACTATGATGTCGATGTGAGGTAGGGGGAAACTATCTCTTGAGCAAGCTCAATTGAGGTCATTGATATCGATGCACAACCTCCACTTTCCATTAGTTTTATTTACGAGTACAACATTTGCTAGCCATACTGGATAATCGACCTCTCTTATTGCCTTGGCATGGAGGAGTTTTGACACCTCCTCATTGATTAATCTCTGCCTTTCTAGGGAAAAAATTCCCCTCTTTTGTTTAACTGGTTTGTAGCTAGGAACTACATTGAGCTTATGAACTACCACCCTCAGGTCTATTCCTTGCTTGTCCTCTACCTTCTAAGCAAACATGTCGATGTTGCATCTTAAGAACATCTCAAGCTTCTGTTTAATGTTGCCTAGCAATATTGACCCAACGAAAACAAGATGCTTTGGTATGCCATCCATTTGTATGAATTCTTGTTCTTCTAAAAGGGTTGACCTCGTATCTACCTTATCTCTCATGTCCAAGTCGTCTATCTGTACTAAATCCACTTCCTTCTGCCTCACGGATGATATATAACATTCCCTGGCTCCCATTGTCCCGTCTTATGAACCTGACCTCATTCTTAGTGGGGAATTTCATGACGAGGTGATACACCAAGGGGATTGACTTGATGGAATTCATGGATGGCCTACCCAATATGACATTGTAAGTTGAGGGCGCATCTAAGATGGGAAACTTCACAGTCGTAGTAATTTGACATAGAGGCTCTCCCAGTGTGAGTAGAAGCTGGATTGAGCCTAGGAGGAAGACCTTCTCTACTAAAAACCCAAGTAGGTGGGTTTTCATGGTTTCAAGCTTCCATTTTGTCAATTCCCAATTTCTCGAAAGCCGACATGAAGATTATATTAGTAGTGTTGTCAATGTCCACAAGAACTCGATGTATAGTTTTTTTTGCAATGATAACATTAATGACCACAGAATCATCATTGGGGAGTTGGTACCCCTCTAAATTGCATCTAAAAATGAGATTTAAAGGCCAAGCCATAGGGCCTTCTATACTGTTTGGATCTCAAGGAGGTTGTATATCCTAAGCTTCCTAAAATATGCCTTTTTGGCTTAACTAGACTCTTCGCCACTTGTGAAGCCTCAGGAGATCACCCTAATTTATCCTAGAGCTTGTTGGTGCTGTTAATGTCCTTGCTAGGGTTGTTCTTGAGGTCGTTTGGCTCGTTCTTTGCCCTCCCGAGGTATAAAATGGCTGAGCTGCCCCCTTTGTATCAAGAATTTGATTTCCTTTTTTAACTGAATGTAGTCATTGGTATCATTCCCGTGATCTCTATGGAAGTTGCAGTATTTGGTAAGACCTCTTTTCCACGGGTCTATCTTCATATTAGCGGGCCACTTGACATATCTCTAGTTTTCGACCTGATATAGCACCTAAGCTATTGAAGCTTTCAACAACGTGAACAGCTTAGGTGCGAACCAAGGTTCCAGGTTTAGCTATGGGGGTCCTAGTCGACCCCTCACGTCTCCCCTCTTTTTTGGGGACTGATATCTATTTCTCTAAGGTGAACGATCTCGTTCCTGGCTCCTCTCACGGCCTCATCTATGGCTTCACTCCTTCCTCTTCTTGTCAGAGCGTCACTCATGGGTACTCCACAATCCACCCTTAGAAAGGAGAGATTCTTCCCTGTTAATATACTTTTTTGCATTGACCAACACCTCGCCCACAATGGCATGGGGATTTTTAGAAGTAGAGAATAAGAGATCTTTAGTTTGTAGACCCAGACTAGTCGTGGAGGCTGTGAGGGCAACCTTCTCATCTAGCTTGTCAACCTTGAGGGACTCCTGATTGTATCTCTTAACATACTTTCTTAGTGACTCTCCTAGGTCTTTCTTGACCATTAGCAAATGATATGACGATTTTAGGTGCATTCTTGCCCCGATAAAATGGGAGACAAACTAAATAGACAGTTGTCTAAACAAGGAGGATGACACCAAGGCCAACCTATTAAACCAAGCAAGAGCGGAACATTTCAAGGTGATGGAAAAATCTTGGCATTGAATCGGATCCTAGTACTTGTGTAACTCCATTTAGTTTTTATATGAATGCAGGTGATCTACTAGTATCTCCTTTGTAAAAGGTGATTCAATTCATTGAATTTAGGCCTCCATGGTAATTGGAGTTCTATTCTTCATGACCTCCTTCACGTTACCCAATTCATATTAGATTTCCCTAAAGCGTTCTTTCCAAACTAATCCAGATTGTTTTGTGGACTGGGAGGTTGGAAATTTCCCCTTTTCGCCATGCAGCTTTGCTATGTGCATCATCTTTGTTTGACGTCAGAGGATTTCCTCTGGTTGACTATGGCGTTCCTTAGCCACACATTTTATAGGATTCAGAGGTGGATCTCGGGGATTCAAAGTATTCTGGGGGTTCAAATGATTATTGGGGGTTTTGAGGATAAGGATTCTTTTGAATCGGTTGGAAGTTTTGGGCTTGTACAAGGACGACTAGCTCCTCGTTCTGCCTGAAAAGGAGAAGAAGAGTTTCCTATTAGATTTCTGGTTCATTTCCAAGCGTTGGGTTTTTTGCGAGAGGATTCAATGGAGGTGGAGGATGAACCCTCTATAGATTGTCCGGAATTTGGCTCATGCTCTGGGTTCTGAACATCAAGTAAAATAGAGATAAAGTTTTTTAATGAAAACGATGAAAATCATTCCCACGGACGCAGCCCGCTGATGGTGTGTGAACTCAAAACGTGAGCTAGATGCTTGGGCTGAGGAGCTCAAGGCTTATGAACAGTAAATCATGGATGAATAGTGTGTGCATGTGAGATTGTCCTGTAATGGAGTATGATGGCTCTAGGATTTGCTAAAGTAAGCTACCAGCAAAAGTAAGAATTAAGGGTATAGTAAGAACACAGAATTACAGTGGTACACTGGCAATAAAACTTGGCTAATCCACTTTAATAGAGTATTTTACTCCTTAGGACATTCTATTACTTGGAAAAGAAAGCGGCAGTTACAATCTCAGAGATTACAATAGGAATATCACTCCGCCTTTGTGAGAGGGATTGCCACTGTATGTATGCCCTCGTTTGGGGTGATCCTCACTTAATTATTACATGATCCCCAAGTTGTTAGAATTTGTTAGGGAAATATTTGGCCATTGGAAGTTCAATTGCCTAAGTGTGACGCGACATTTTACATCCTAGTAAGGTGGCATCTGGTTTCTTCCTTTATGCCTAGATATGGTAAAGTTCTTTGCCCATGTGAGAGATTATGCCGGTGGGATGAGCTAATTCTTTCTCTGAGGATGAGCTCACTCCCATATCTTTACCTAACTTGGGAGACCCTGACCTAGAACTAAGTTGGATGAGGCCCTGAGCTGAATAACTTTCCTAGTCTAGGTCAAGGGTAAGACCTTGATTCATGAACTATTCTGCGATGAAGCTGTTGGGATGCCCTCCGGTTATTTGATGATATTAATTGTGGCATAATAAGGAACAAATGAAAATTCAAGAGCAAATTTAACACCAAATATTATGGAATTAGTACAAGTGTTCGAAAATCTCCAATTTAGTGAATAAGCACTAATTCTTCGGTTAGTACAAATGTACAATCCTTTATGCTTTTGACTCAAAATTCGACATGTACCTAAAAAAGGATAAATAGGGGTAAGCTAGGAGTCTACTAAAATGAACAAATCACAATATAAAGAATAAAAAATACTAACCTTAAATGTATAATTAACATTCGATTGAAAGTAGAAGAACTTTTTTTTCATACCGTAAATATGGTCAATTTTGACGTCATCTTTTGGTTGACAAATAGACATAGCGGGTTTGAATGATACAAGCTAATGAATAAGTGAGGGAAGTTGTCTCTTGGATTTAAAAAATCAAAGGTAATCAAGCGATACTCAACCCTAATATTTAGGGAGAATTTTATTAAGACTCCTAAGATTTGTTACTTAATTATTCAGATTCTCTAATATCTAAAATATTATATACTAATTCCTTAAAGTTTGTATCCGTATAACAATTAGATCCCTGTTATTGATGTTCGTTAATATATTCGTAAATAAATTATACTCAAATCTTCTGAAATTTATTGATTTGTAATACTTATATTTTTTAAATTTAAAATGTTATACTTAGACTAAAAAAACTTCAATCAAAGATAAAATATCAAATATTTTAAATTTTACAACTAAACTTAATATTCTATTATGACATTTATTAAAATAAAAATCTAATTTTTTTAATAAATTATAATTAATATACTATTAAACTATCTATTGAAATTTAATTTAGTCTTTTAAACGACTAAATTAAACTATCAAATTATCCTCAATTAAAGCTAAAAAATATTGTGTTTGTTACAATTTGATTTATTTGATTTTTTAGTTTTATTTCAATAGATAATATAATTACATACTAATAATGATTTTTAAGAAAAATTAAATTTTTATTTTTAATTTTATTTCAATAAATTACATAATAGAACATAAATTTTAGTTGTGACATTCATGTTCTATTTTTAATGACTTAAACCCCTCGTTTAATTATTTAATTTTATTCAAATGGATAGTATAATTATATATTAATTAAGATTTTTTAAGAAAAAATAAATTTTATTTTTGATTTTATTTTAATAAATGATACAATAAAACATTAATTTTAGTGGTCAAATTTAAAGTATTTGATATTATATCTTTAATTGAAATATTTTTTATCTAAATATAATATTTAAACTTGAAGAGTCTAAATATTATAAAACTACAAATTTTATAAAATCTGGGTGTAATTTATTAATGAAATACAAACCTCAGAGAATTTAAATTAGACTTTGAAACTCTCATAATTTTTGAAACATTGTTTATTTCAATCTAAACATATTCTGGCAGGGGACTTAGTGATACAACGGATTTACTTTGTCCCAATATCTTCGCTCCGTCCCTTTCCACACACCTTTATTTAGTCTAATAATATAAGATAGGAAACAAAGATGAGAGGTTACCACATGATCACCCCAATTAAAAGCCCTGATTAAACAGAATCCTAATAGTATTTCAGCAGAAAGCGACGATTCTATATATACCCCATACCATAGTACTATGAATCTCACCCATCTCAACCGTACACTAAACAATTATGCCTTAGTGTTAGTCATCATCTTCTGGAACTCCTCAAAGTTGACGTTACCGTCACCGTCAGAATCCACAGACTTGATCATTCTGGCACAATCCTGAACAGAGCATATCTCACCTAACCGGGTCAGAATCTGGTGCAACTCGGCAGCAGTGATCACCCCATCTTTATCCTGGTCGTAGAGCTCGAATGCGTCCCTGAGTTCCTTCATCCAAACGTCGTCGTTTTGGCTTGTCTTCAAGAAGCTGGCGAACTCCTGGAGGTTGATGAAGCCATCCTTGTCGGTGTCGATCTCGGACATCATGCAAGAGAGTTCGTCGGCAGAAGTGTCGGATCCGAGGGCTTTCATGACGTCGGAGAGCTCCGTTGCCGAGATCTTGCCGTCGCCGTTGACGTCGAAGCGGTTGAAGACTTGATTGACCTCGTCCATGTCCTGGAGACACATCGTGGGTTTGACGGTGGGGGCATGGTTAGGGTTAGTTGCCATTGTTTAAGTTGGCGTTTGCGCTGTTTTAGAGATTTGGAGAGAGAGAGAGAGTCAACAAAAAGTGTTAGGGAGAGGTGACTTCCAATTTTAACGAGTATAGGGAGAGGGTAGTTATATAGATATTGAAAGTGGGGGCCACATGGGAGAGGAGGAGGAAAGAGATCCAGGGGAATGATAATTATGGGTTTGGATCGTTTTTAAATATGAAAGTTTTTGATTTTATTCGAGTTTAATTACTTATAATGAAATCAATTGGGTTTCATTGCGTCAACGGTGAACTCAAAAGAATCCCCTCATACCACGTAAAGATTATTTTTAATAAATTTTTTATTCTTACTCAGCTCTTTTGTTTTATAGAATCAACTACTAAAAATCAAATTCTAATAAACTTTTTATTTAAATTTTTTAAAAGAGAGGGTAATTTGACTCTTCAAGTTTAGAATACTCTCTAATTCCTGACTATAAGACTATATTCTCTACTAGAATAGAAAGTCCCTCGTCGTTGTCTAAAAAAATTTATTATTTATTTTAAATTAATGTCAAAAATATTCTCGATTTAAAAATATTTTTTTTTTAAATAAAGAGTATTATTAGAGTAGCTCTAATGATTTTGACGAATGAAGTGATAAAGACAAAAAATATACTTTTAAAGATGTTAAAGTTATCTTAACATATTTTTAAAAATATTTATTGTGACATTTGATCTCAAACGGTTTGATTTAGCTCAAAATCTTGTGCAAATTTTTAAATTTAATAAGATAATAAGTTATTGAGGCAAAATCTTAATCACATAATCCCTTAAAAAAAACCGATGTTTTGGCACTTCACACGTGAATTTTTATTATGAGAGTGAATTTCTTGTGAATTTGCAATTATATTTTATAAAATTCGCAAATTCAAACTTTTAATTCACAAATTTGAGCTTTTATTTGTTTATATACTTACTTTTTACTTGAAACATGCATAAAAATATATATATCAAATTAGAATAATATTGGTAACCTATAATTGTTATTTCAAGGCCTTATAATCAATATATATATAATAAAACAGAAGAAAATTTGAATCTTATACCCAACGTATTTTCTCCCCCAAAACCATCCCAAGTAACCCATCACCTCTCTCTTAACGTTACATTACCACTCACCTGCACACGGTCGCCTGACACACACATCTATCACCTATACCCATCACTGCTCCTCACCTGTACCCATCGTCTCCCTTTTTTTCCTCTACTCATTTGCCATCAGTTTTTTTTACCTTCTTCTTCATTTTTTCTTCACTCCTCTCTCTCTCTCTCTCTCTCTTATATATATATATATCTCTGTTACCACCATCAAAGCCACAGCCACAACCAACGCCTTCATTGCAACCAAAGCCACCGCCACTGCTACAGCCAGCCACCACCACTATTACCGCTATGGTCAGGTATTCCCCTTACCCTTCTTCCCCTCTGCGCAACCCCTCCCCCCCCCCCCCACTCTTTCTCAATTAGTTTGAGTTCGATGGCAACTCTTGAGGAGGTATTGATGCCCTTTAGAGTTCATTTAGAAAAGAATGAGAGAGAAAAAGAGTCAATACCAAGAGCTCAATCTCATCACCTGTTTAAAACAATGAAAGACCCAAAGAACAACCAAACCCAGATCACAAACCCTTCATAGAGCTCCTCTGGTTCTTCCTAATCATACAAGGTATCAAGTTCCTCTTAATTCCAACCTACCACAACACAGAATTCCTCGCTACTGGTTTGATCTCACCCACTCTTTCTCTCTATCCCAATGGTACTAGGCCATGGACTCTGGATTACCTAGGGTTGCAACTTGGGTTGGGCAACTCAATTTCAACTCGAGCCCAACCCGAAAAAATTAGGGCTTGGACAAGGGTTTTTGATACTTAAGTTGGGCTTGGATCAAAAAACTCAACCCGAATTCAATTTGGGTTGGGCTCAGGTTAAGGTCTCGTGAACCCGAGTTCAACTTGAACCCGACAAATTAAAAAAAATTTATATATATCTATTGCTCTTTGTCTCTCTTGTTCTCTTTGTCTCTCTCGTTTTTTCAGCCTCTCTTGTTAAAAACTTGTTTGAAGTTATTGGTTGTTAATTTAGGTGAATATTATATAACATATGTATTAAATTTAGAACAACAAGCCTATTTTGGACTCTACCCGAATTGAACCCGTAAAGTAACCCAAAATCATCAACCCGAGCCCGCCTGAATTAAATTCGGGTAGTTCTCGGATTTAGTTCCCCAACCCGAGGTAGGGTTAGGTTTAGGGTTAGGGTTGAAAATTATATACCTAGGGTTGGGTTAGAATTGATTGTCCAACCTGCCCAAGTTGCACCCCTAGGATTACCCACTATTCTTTGCTCATTTCGAACACTTCCTCTCCCTCTTTGCCTAGTTCATCAACCCCACCACGGTCCACCTCCAAAACGGCCTCAGTTGCAAGTCTTATCTCACCATTTTCTTCCAGAAAGTCTCAATAATCGTCTTTGATATTGTTATGATGTACGGATTTTATTGTTTGACTCTGAATTTGGAGTGTAGAAAGCAAATTTTTGTTTGGGTATTGGTGATTTGATCACTTTGGGTTGATGATTGTTGATCATATACACTTTTAGTATAATGGGTTTCTTTTGGGGATTTTGTTGGTTTATTTGGCGGCATGACAGGAAGGAAAGGATTTGATTGCTGGGTTTGCTTTGTTTTAAATCTCTAACTTGTTGATCCAAGCATACTCATTTCCTTAGGCTTTTATCTTCACGTGGCTTTCAAGGCTCTCATTCTGGTACATATTCACACACAGGTTAATAAATTCTCTCTCTCTCTCTTTGTTTTTTATCCCAAATTTAGCATTAATTTTAATGGTGTTTGAAAGATGTATTTTTATTTTTTTTTGTGACTTATGTCATATATCCCTAACACAGGTTTTTAGCATCATGTTTGTAGGCATATGCGGTGGAAAATGTTAAGGTTGGTTTGATGGTAACTATATCACATGCATCATAAGTAGTTTAATCATCTTTTGCACAATTCTACCATAATATGGTTTTTGTTGTCCAAGGGGATCATTTCCACTACTAATAACTTCTAGCTTGAATGGAATGGACGTGAGACTTAGATTCTGTTACCTTTTCGTGGTGGTATAAGGCTAGCATAATATTTTTTGTTAAAAGACAATGAGTTCTAATTTGAGCTATTCTCTTGAGACCCTTTACGCACATTAATATTCAGTGTTTGTTTATTTTTAATGTGTTTATGTTAAGTGTTTGATTATTTCGTTTTTAAGAACAATATAAGTTTATTTTTTATTTTTTTAATTGCACAATTTCAGACACGAATTATGGAGATAGTTTAGGCTTTCAACTTAGTACACGTCTGAGTTAAGTGCTTGATTAGTTCGTGCCCCAATTTAGTACTCGATGTTTTTTGAATTGCACCATGCCTTTAGACACTAGTTATCCCTAGTATATATATAAATTAAATAGTTTTCCACATAATTGTGCATATAATTTAAGTTTTTATATTTTATCTTTATTAACTTTTCACCTAAGTAGGTCAAAAAAGATGTTAGGGGTCAATAATCATAAAAAGATAAATCTTCTTATTTGCCAAGTGATTAAATGGTTTAATTTTAACAACAATAAATTGATGAAAAAGCATGTATGTACAGTATATACTATTTAAGAACAAATTAATCATTTATTTATTAGTAGCCATGTGGTTAGTGGACTCAATCAGAAACTGAAGTAAGAACTCCTCCAAAAAATAGGAAAAATGAGTTGGTAGAAGACAAAAAACTGTTTAAATTTAAATATTATGAATTTAAATTTTGATAATTTATTAACGTCAAGTAATAAAAAATTTATCTCTTAAGAATATCTTAATTTTAACATAAATGACTTATTTTTAATCAAATTAAATAAAAAATTAATTAATATTCATTTAAATTATCCTAAATACTCTTAACGATTAAAAAAAGGAAAAAGAGTTAGAATTAAGATATAAAAATGCGTGCCTGAAAATAAACTTATCTATGCGTGGGACACGCGGAGAAGCCAAACTTCCCAGCATGACGCGTTGAGTCAAGACTCTAAAGAATGTCGGTACTCATTTCATTGTTATTGATACGCGTGGCTGATGAAACAAGTGGCCGTTTAATTTTTAGGTTAATTAAACTTAGACACCTAATATTTGACACTTCGTCACATTGTCTGTCTCTTATTTAAAAAATAATTGATGATGCATAAAATATATTTGTACATACTCAACAATCGAGTATGTGATTTAGGATAATTAATGAGACAATCAATAAGTAATTAATAGTAAAAAAACAAGTATAGTGTCAACGCACATATGAATAGTGAGTTGGTTAGAGGACCCACTCCATTCTGAAAACGATAATGATGATCGGAGAATTTTTACTAATAAAGTAAGGTGAGAGAAAGAGAGCAGAGGTGACCTTCGAGAGAGATATGGTAGCTAAGAGAGAGGAATAGATATGTGTGGAGTGTAAAAAGAGACGTCATCTCATGTAGAGAAAGTTCACAATTTATAGGCATAGAACCTTAGTTAAGACGGCGACGAGAGAGTAATGACACTAGTCTTTTTGGGAGGACAGTTATAAAAGGCAAATACAATTAAAGATTGTCTTGATCTTCGAAAGTAATTATTTGAGGTTTCCTCCTTACGTGCTCTAATTTTCTTAGACCCCTTAAACCTTTCAACTAGGTTGAATCTATGAGTTGGACTTGACCTGTCTTGTAACTAATTTGAGCTCACCTCACTAACTGGGTCTGACCCAATAAGATATGGGCTCGTGAGTAATAATGCAATCCATTTCCATATGTTTTGAATATGAGTAATGCTAATTAGTATAATTTTGACAAACATTCCTTGACCTCTTATTGCAAAACAAAATCAATTGTTGAACATTCGTCATCCTAATATGTGTGGATTTGAACAAAAATATGCATTATTTACTAAATTGTATAATATAATAAAGATGATTTTTAGTTGTTGTTGTACAAATTGGATGAATTATAATTTACACCCTTAAAGTATTGATGTAGT